CGGAGCCGAGCCCCCGGCTCTCCGCGGAGCCCCCGCCGGGCCGCGCCGCGCTCGCTCCGGCTCTTTGTTATGCTAATTCCCCTTCCCAGCTGGTGCCAGCTGCCTGCACAATGAGCGCCCCGAGCCCTCGCCAGCCCTCGCTAGCCAGGGAGTGGGGGCGGGGCGGGGGGGCACCTCGCCCTGAGCGCCCCCCATTCGCAGCGCGGCGCGGCCCGGCGGGGTGGTGCGCGGCCCAATAGGCAGCCTCCCCCCTCCCCTCCCCTCCCCTCCCCCCGGCTGGCGGGGCCGCGCCCCTCGGGGCCTGCGGGGCATCCACTGATTCATCCCAGTCGCCGCGCTGCCCGCCCTCCAGGTGCCAGGGCTTGATGAAAAGTAAAAGGCTCCTCGGCGGCTCGAGGGCTGCGCGGATGAAAGAGAAGCAGCCGCCTCCCAGACCACACAGCTAATCCTCCCGTAAACCTCGAGCAAATAAGGGAAGAGGAAGAACAGGCCGGCTACAGATGTGGAGCGCAGCCTCCGGGGATCCCCAAATTAAAACTCGTGCAGGGGAAGCACTTGGACCACCACCAAATGACGCTAATTGGGTTATGGGACCATAATCTTGGCTGGTATGGAAAAAAAACAAAACAGTTATAGTCACAGCTGCGAGGACTGTCTTCATAAAAAGAAGAGGAAAGTCCGCTATTTTATTGCGCACAAGCGCGCGAGAGAAGAGGGTTCGCGGCTCTCCTGCCTGCGTGGTGCAGGCGGGCTGGTTGCTTGAAGGCGAGGACAATCTTGTGCCAGGTGGAGCAGCGTTGTGCCTGGCTGGCTCCGGGTGTGCAGAGCTAATGGGCCACGGGGGGAGGGGGGCGCGCTCCACTGGGGGGAGGGGCGGAGGAACTGCATTGAGGATGGGGAGCATGGCCTATCTGGAGGAATGCATTTCAGACAATAGGTTGGCAGCCATATGCAGAAAACAATCATTCTGGACCGGAAAATTCAGAGATTTATTTTCTAAGAAACATCCAGAAGCAGTTCCTGCGTTTCACTGGGGGGAAAAAAGGCATTCTGGCGAAGGAAAGGAAGGGGTGACATGAAGAAAGCTCAAGTGAAAATCTTCAGTAGATCCCTGGTGGTTAGAATCATGCATGTGAAGGCCAGAAGAGAGCAGTCTTTTAGAGGCCCTTTGAGCCCACCCTCATCACTTGACAGATGGAAAATTAAGACCCAGAGAAGTTAAGGGGTTTGTTCACGGTTAGACAGTTAGTGGGCGGCAGAGTTGGGTGAGAGTCTGTCTCCTAAATCCTAGAGGTCTCACCACTAACTTAGTTATAATTTTGTAGCTAAGAAGCCACAGTCATTTGACCAGAAATAAATACAGTAGACTCTAAAAGAAAAAAAAAAGGAAATTTTAGAATGATTGAGTTAAACCTTGTCTGATCTATAATGAGAATAAGAGTTAGAAACCAATTAATTATTGCAAATCCCATCCCAGGATTCTTCTTAGTATGTATCTGTTTATACATCCCTTAAAACACCCAGATGGACAGGTGACCCCAGGGTTTCTTTAAGAGTTCTTTCTGTGCAGAGACCCAATACTGTTTCCAAACAGAGAGATGTCCCTTGTGTATTAAGTCATCTCGGCTAAAACTAGCGAGGTCAAAGCTGGATTGGTTGAGAATTCTAACTCATCATCCTCACTGGTTGGAATCCTACTCCCTGGAAAATAAAAATATTTATTCCAGCTGCTTGGCTTCCAAACACCTAGAGGATAAGCTTGGGAGATGGCCAGCCTGGATCTCCTCGTGCAGGTTGAGGCCTCCTGGCTATCCAGTGCCTCTCCCAGCTGGCTCAAATGGCAACTATGGTTGCCAATCACAAATTCCAGAGCTCAGGAGGGTAGGAGGAGAACCTGTTGCAGAGAAGCCCTGGGCCCATTATGGTATAACATTGCATTTGCTTTCATTACACTCTGGGGCCCATTTCTTATTCTCAACCCATATGGCTTCATTTTGTTCTCATTTTAGGACCTACCCATCAGCAAGCCTCACCACAAGTGTACCTCACCTTATGGAAAAATACACACTCTTGAAAAATTGAGAGAGATGGAAGTGTAATGTTGTAAATTGGATCCTGTTTTTAAGCTATCAGCTGGGCTCTGAGTTTAATGGAAATGCAGAAAGGGATGAGAGTTCAAAGTAGGGATAACAAACCCCTCATTGATCTGCTTTTTAAACTTAGATCTTGCAAGTGGTAACAGTATCCTAGTTATTTTATGATAGGCCATGTCCTCAGTTATGATGATCCAGAAAATTCTGCTTTGGCCTCCGTTATCAGGTATAGGAACACAAGGTGTTTAGTCTAAATTATCCAATTTTTTTTTTACTCAATATTGTGTTTCTTTCTGAGTAAAAACTAGGTCTAAGAGAATCATTCAATACAGTAACTAAATGAACTTGAACTTTGGCAAATCCTGGGGATGAATCAGAAGTTAGCGGTCTTCAATCTTTTCACTTGCAAGGCACACCTCTTATTCCCTTTAGAACAGCCAATGTTCTGAAAGAGTCTGTCTTTTAAACAAATTGCATTTATTAAGGATAATGCCTTCATTTTCCTGGTCAGAGTATCTTCTTCGTTTGTGATAACTGTGTTAACCCAAAGCTGAAGTCCAGCCAAAGGTAGGGCATCTGACATGGGGTCAGCCTGTGCAATCACTTTCAGAAAATTTGATGATTCACAATAAGCTTTTTGAAATATTAAACACATTTCAGGGCCACCAATGACTACTTTTATAGCTAAGGGACTTGGACCCCAGGTTTGACACTATCCCCCTACTTAATTTCAAGGTCACTGTACAGAACCCAAGAGGCTGGACACTTTCCACCCAAAGGAGGATCAAGCACTGTCAGATCCCACCCTCATGGCATGTAGGGACAGTAGTGGGGAAATCACAAAGGCTCACTCATTGCACATCATGTGCACCGTGGCAAGGTCACTTCCCTGATATTAAATTAGCCTTTAATCCTGACAACCTTATGAGGTGGATACCATGTGCCATCCCATTTTACAGACAAGAAAACTGGGGCACCAGAATGTAAAGTGACTTGTTGGCCAAGTCCAAGGTTGCACTACAGTGACAGAGCTGAGATTTACATCCAGGCAGTCTGACTGCGACCCCCTACTCTCTTAACTCTCGGCTGTATTCCAGTCTCATGAGAAACCCACAACCTCTGTGCTTCTAAACTGAACAGGAGAGAGGAGCCTTGGGCTAATGTATATACCTAGTCACAAGATGGTTTGGTGGCTTTATTGAAAAGCACAGCAATGGATGGGCGAGGTGGTTCACACCTGTAATCCTAGCACTCTGGGAGGCTGAGGTGGGAGGCTCACTTAAGGTCAGGAGTTTGAGGCCAGCCTGAGCAAGAATGAGACCCCATCTCTACTAAAAATAGAAAAGTTAGCAAGGCATGGTGGCATGCACCTGTAGCCCCAGCTACTTGGGCGGCTGAGGCAGGAGGAGGCTAAGAAAGGAGGATTGCTCGAGCCCAGGAGTTTGAGGTTGCAGCGAACTACTTGGAGAATAAGAAACCCTGGAAGCTCCAGAGAGGGCAGATGAGCCATTTCTCTCTTCCTGCAAAAACATAAAGGAAATCCTTTAGTCCTTGAAATGTTTTTTTGCTGTCTTCATAAAGAGGTTTGACAAATGAAAAAAAAAAATTCTGTCTTCGTTTCTTTTTAGTCTTTAAATTTTCCTTAAAGAAAGAGAATTTACTTTCCACTCCATGTGGAGCACTGTATTTCTCAGACTTCCCCCACTCTACTGGGTCAGAGATCAACGTCCTAACCTTTTGCTGAAATACCTTGCAAAGGCTGTCATTCTTTGTCTTTTCGTTATCATGCACACTGGGGTGTTGTGAGTTTTGCAGATGGCGTAGATGACTGGCTGCTGCACCAGGTGCATTTCAGAGACATCTACTGGCCTCTTGGTTTTGAGGGTGCAAAGATCATACCACATCTGAGCTTAGTCCATTGCAATTGCCTTAAAGGGCATCTGCAGAAAAAAAAGCACTGTGTCTAGAAGTATCAGAACTGGTTCCTGTGTGAGCTGGCCAGAGGAGGCAGCGGAGGATCACATGTGTGGTGCATGCACTCATCTGCTCCCATGGAATGACCTGGAAGGAGGCAGTGACTGCCTAAGGTGAGGCTGGTCTGCATAGCACAGACCATGGGGTGTGTTAGGCCCCTTTCCCCCAAAGTTCTGACATTTGCCTGTTGTCTTGGGGACCTTGGCAGAAAGCAAGATCACAACTTACATCTCTGCAAGGTCCTTTCTATGTGCGTTCTCCTCCTCCCCCAAGATATGGCATTTTGTAAGATTTTATAATTTTAAATCAAGGGAATCGTTATACAAATGGAGCTGAGAAATTTCATGAGAAATAACTAACACATTGCCATACGTTCTATCAGTTTCATTGTGGTCAAAAGCAGGTGTTTCCACACTGTAAATAAGTAGTTTGCATTTTCAAAATTAACAAATTGGATCAACACCAAGGGGAAAAAAAAAACCAACCATAGACAGCCCACCAGAGAATTGTTTACCAAAGAAGATGAAGCTCATGGCGATGGTTTGCAAACACCACGACTAGCTTGTATAAATTCCCTTCGTTTAGTCATCATTCTTCAGCCTGTCACAGATATTGAAGGGAAACGCAGAAACAGGAAATTACAGACTATTTTAAACAGCATGTTTTATTAAACTCACTTGCTGATGCACTTTATGGCAGGATGCAAGATCCAAGTGTTCATAACTTACATCTTTGCAAGTGCTTTTCCTAAGTGAGTGCTCCCAGCTAAATTATGGCATGTACCCAGGGCTGGAAACAATCTCTAAACTAGTAACTGTTTCACCCCAGGTCATGTAGCTCTATCACATAACATGGAGAAGTTGTAGCCTGGTGAAGAGAATATACCTTGCTTATGCACCATAACTCTAAGAAAGCAATGGAGGCATCTGGTAGTAACTTAAAAGATGCTTAATGCATTTTATTTTAAACCACAGAATCAAAACACAGTGATCTTAAAATGAATTACTAGAAACCATACATTGTCTCTTCTTTTATTATTTAAATACTGATTTCATTCTTCTCTTCATGGGAGACAGTTCTGCATCTAATTTAAACCATCATTGCTTATGCCATGCTGAATCCTTGTCTTTGCAAAAGCCTAGTAAAATTGGCAGGGATGTGATAACCTTAACTACAAATGCAATGACTTCAAATTTAAGGGGCTGTCATAAAAATGGAATTTAACAACTAATTATTTGCAAAAATGTTTCCTGCTCACAGTAAGTTTGAAGGGCATAAAAGCCTAGCTGCATCACATAAGAATCCTTAAATCCTTGTCTAATATTTGTTTGTGAGGTTGATGTCTCTTAACAACCATGCCTTCTACAAGTTGTTCTCTGCTCTGCTGATACACAAGATACATCAAGAGGAGCTGCAATAGGAGTTCATAATTGGAGAGTCAGCTATGAACTCTAAAAAAATAAATACTTTCACTCAATAGCTTCAGCATTTATTTAACAAAGTGGCATGTAAAATGTTCTAAATTTCTATTGTCTTCACAAAAGATCATGCCAAAGATGCTTTACCTTAATTATAGACTGGCTGTCAGATAGTGGCTTCTACTGGTCTGGGGTTTTTCTGCCTTCCTCCCATGCCCCTGCAATCCCTAGGAGCCCCTCAAGGTGAAGTATAGAATAATAGGATTTTAAGAGTGGAAGCATATACTGATACCTTTGCTTTTTGCAAATGGCTTTGCCAGACCATCTGCTACAATTAGCCCCTTTAGGAAGGAAGGACCAGAGACAAAGGTTAATGATTTGGCTAATGACAGGCACCCATATATCCAGGGGACTAGCAATGAAAGGTATTCTTGGAGAAGGAGGGCCACTTTCTTAAGGGAAAGATTTATTATCTTTTGAAGGTCTGGATTCTGTCATATCAGGTTTTTCCTTAAAGCAGAGCACAGCAATGAGAGAAGGTATTATTTTCCAGGTGGGTAGACAGCAGCGTGGAGTGGAGGTTGTCTTAGCTTTTCCAAGTCTCTCAAGATAAAACTATAGAACCCAGTTAAGAGATTTAAGTTCTTATGAATGGGTGCCTTGGCAACTTTGGAAAAATCTAACTTAATATGTCATGAGTAGAACAACAATGCTGGGTGCACAGGAAGTGAGCATAGGAGGCCCTAAAGTTCTCACCTACTAACAACAAGAAAATTTTTGTAATTTGGATGGGTGTTTAGGGTTTTGTGTGTGTGTGTGTGTGTGTGTGTGTGTGTGTGAAGAAAAAGAATTTTTTTACTATGCTAGAAATGTCCTAGAAACAAAAACATGATGACTAAATATAATCGATTTTTATGCTGCTGGATTTAAAGGCACCACTCATCCTGCAAAACCAATTCTAATGGGTTCTCCTGAACAGGTGCATGGGCCCACAGCTCTGGTGTGTGCTGTTGAAAATCGCCACTTCCGTCATTTTACCGTTTTGGCCATCAAGCAAAACTGTATCTGGTAATGTTGGGGGCTTTTCAAAAGCAAAAAGATAAATCCTTTCTTTCATATTTAAATCTCCATGAGGTATTATACTCATAATAAGAATGCTACATTTGACAAATTAATTAGCTTTCAACTAGCTTCCCCACTTTATCAAAGAAAATATTAGCTTCTAAGAATAACATTAATACAGGATTGTACGGAATACTACTAACAAGAATCTGTAGCTGTTATAAACATTTACATGGGGTCATCTTCTTAACAATTCGACATTTCATAAAGGAATCAGCGAATAGGATTCAGTGTTTATGGTTTCATGTTATGCAATTTTTTTTCAGAGACTTTCTCAAAAATCTTTACATTCGTTCAGATATAACCTTACTGATCACCACATCATCCATTAACATCGTGCTTCTTAATCAACAGAAATTTAAACTTGTAAACTGGGACCATTCTAAAATACTTGCCAGATTGGCTTCTTAAAGTACTCTTTTATTTTGAAAACTCCTGTGTGGCCCCTGTCCGCTACAATTCCTAAACATTTTGAGTTTTTTAAAGGAGAATGATGGAAAAGAGAAAGATAGCCAATCAGCATTAAAATAAAAAAAAATCTTAATAATTTTGATCATTTTAATAAATATATATCAAGAAAACCTCACTTTATTACAACACATTCATATACAAGCATCTATCATCTAAGTTTTCAACATCAAATGTTTATCAAATATTGAAAATAAAGGTCAAAACATTACTAGACTATTTAGCTATAACACAAGAACATATTTTAAAAATTGGTCCTTGTGGACAATTGTCCAAATGATCCTACTCATACACTGTATGAATGAGACCTATATTTAATATTAATAGCAATAATAAAAAAAAAGCTTTATCTTGGAGAAACTGGGAGGACCTACTTATTTCCTCCATTTGGCATTTGGTTCCTGTGAAATATTGTTTAAAGTGGTCCAAGTCAATTAGTGACTTGGAAACTTGAATATAGTTAGTTTAGCAGGAATTGGCTGGAGTGGAAGGGAAGTTGGTAGGAGGGCCATTCTGAACACTTTTCAAGCACACAAATTAAAGATATTATTGAGAAAAATGTTGACCAAATACATAGTAACTATCACAGATTAAGTCCCATTTCTCCAAAATAACTTTCCCCAAACTAAAATCTTTACATTCTTTAAGATAAACCTCATTGATCACCACATCATTTATTAACATTGTGCTTCTTAATCAACAGCAAAAGTCATATATAAAAAACCACATGCTTTTATAATCTAAACGAGTGAAATGATGCAAAACAGATTAAAATATAATGCATGCCACTGGTTCATGAACTTCATTGGACAAGAAACCAAAACAAAATAACCCCAAACCCAGAAAACCCAAACCCCAGCAACAGACCGTTGCCATAGAAAAGCTCAAGCAGCTAGTGCTGGTTTCTAACAGCTCTCTACATCGTTTCCTCCATCCCTATCGAAAAATGCCAAACCCAAAAGCAATTGGGCATCAAAAATAAAGAATAGAGATGTCGAATCAAAGGTTGAACACAACAGTTCAAAGTTAACAGTTTCCAAACCATATCGATCCACCCTGTTTTTTTTTTTTATTCCTGTTTATCAAATCCCTGCTGTAACTCTGATTTATCCTTAATTTTCACACTGGCAAAAATTAAGTGAAAGTAAGGCACCAAAAATCGCCCTGTATAACACCTCTCTAAAAGCCTCATCACCCATCCCAGGCAAGCCGGGAACTTGCAAGGAATACCCCCTCCGCAGACTATTGACTGCCGCCCCTAGACAGGTGTGTTTCATTACGTTACATCCTATTTTCATCTGTCACAAAAGACTGTTAAATATAAATACTTAACAGCACCATGAAGCCATTTCATCTAGCTCCCTGTCTTCAGCCTTTTATTTAAAAAAAAAAAAACTGTATCATATAGAAGCAAACATCTTTGCTGGTTTATACTGATTTGCTTACCAAACGACTACCAAATGAATTGGCAAACATGTTGAAATTTTTTAGCTAGTGACAGGCTCCCTGGGGGGAAGCAATGGAACTATCACAAGGGCACACTGTCGCCCCCCCATCTAATCTATTGATCTTTTCTGTACGAAAACTAAGATATACTTTTAAGCATGAAGTCGACTGTTTTCTTGGTAAAATCACATTTATAAGTAGCTCGCTGATGCCTACTATGCAGATGTTTTATGCAATCTGCTCTCCAGGCGTTAAAATGACACGGCATGTTCATGGCATAATTTTATCAGTTGTACAAAACTATAAAATCCATTCAAAATAAAATTTATGAGAGCTAATTGATCATGCTGTGCATGCTTCAAAGTTTCGGTGAAAAGATGGCTTATATTTTACTTCCTTTGCTGCAGCACAGTTTGTTACTTGGTGAAGGCTCCTTCTTCCTTAAGGACTTTTTCCAAGACTCACTTACATTGTTTCTTTCATTATATCCAGTCTCAAAATAATCATAAAATTGGCCTTTGCACTCAAAAGCAAGGTCATTTCCCGCAGGTTCATGGCTGAGGGGGCCACCTTCTCTGTTGGTGTCATTATTTGCTTTCTCATCATTTAATTTGGCCTTTTCCTGAATACCAAGGGATCTGACATTAGTAACAAAGATTTCATTGGCGGGTATCTGGCCATCACTCTTGTAAATAGGTGCACTGCCTACATCAAAATCCACCTGGTGGGAACAACTTGGCAAAGGCAGAGGGGGAGAGGAAGAGGAAGATGAGGAAGAGGAGGAGGAGGAAGAGGAGGCAGCGGTGGAGGCACTTCCGACATTGGCATTGACAGAAAGGGGCAAATTTAGGTAGTGGCCGCCACATTCTTGGTAAAAGCAGCAGGCATGAAACTTTTCACACTCCTCCTTGGCCGTCCGTGGTCGCTTTCGGTAAGGACAGTCTTGAGCCATAAACCACTCCTGGGCAGAGGCGCCATTGAACGAGCAGGCAGGGAAGCACCAGTTATTCTGCATGATAATTTCTCCGTGGATTCTTTTCATCAGATTGTTTATAAGGACAGATCTTCGGAGGTACACTTCGGGATCATCGATAAACTTTAGCTTTTCTAAGGACATATAAAGGATGTGGGCTCGTTCTTCAAAAATCGAGATGGTCTAAAAACCAAAACAAGGAAGACAAAGCTTAGGAAATGGACTATATAAAAGTATCATCCCAGCACATTTCTTTCTTGGCAGTGACTGGGTGTGGGGATGCTGTGGTCTTTTTTCCCCAGGGTTCCTTCAGAAATGCTGTCCCCAGGGATGCTGACACCCCCCCTTCCTCACCTGGCTGGAGCTCCCACCCCCTTCCTGACTCACTGGGATTCCAGCCCCATGCAGACCCCAGCAAAGATGGGTCAGGTTTTCCATCTTTCCTGGCCCAGTGAGGGAGATGCTCAAACACAAGACTAGTCTAAGCTGTTAGGAGTCAGGACAGCAGTGACTTTGAGGGGCGGGGCAGAGAGGTGGGGACTAGAAGCAGGCACAAGGAAGGGTTCTGGTTGCTTGCTCATGTTTTGGTTGTTGACCTGGACATTAGTTACATTGGTATGATCACTTTGTGACATGTATCAAGCTGTCCTATGATACTTCTACTTTTTCTATGTGTGTGTATATGTATACACATGTACACACAGAGACATACAGTCACATGCTGTACACCCATAAATGTTTTTATAAAGATGTCAAAGTGCGAGTCATAATGAGAATGCTTCAAACCCTGGTCTAACCATCAAGAAGCATGAGTTTTGGCTTTCAGTGCTGTCTCTCTTTTAATGCCCTGGATTTCCCACTTGCAATGATGCTTGCTTAATAAGAGGACAACAGTAATGAAGGAGGCTCAGACCCTGACTGGTTCTGTCAGTTGAAGGACCAAAGTAGGCTTCCTTTTAGGGTAGGGCAGGAGAAGAGATGCAGAGAGGAAATGAGAGGACTCACTCCTGGGCTGTGTGATACTGTCACTGTGTGATAGTTGGTGCAAATCCAGTAGCAATTGGAAAACTGCTACGGCCACAACACAGGAACTACAAAGGAAATCAACTGCCTGTGTCCTGGGGACCCGTTCCTCCAGGTCATAAAGAGAGCAAACTGGCTGCATGACCCAAAGAGCTGTGAACTGAACCAGCCCAGACTGACCAAAGGCAGGAACTACCCATGCAGGGAAAATCTCAGCACCTGCTAGTGGATGCTGATGTCTTTTTATGAGCAAGGTAAAAGCAACATCTAAAGGATGGCATGGCAGGGTGTGGGAGAGGGCGAGAAGAGACAGAGAGGAAGATGAATTGAAACTCTCTCTGTGTTTCAGACAACTGTGGTTTGGGGTTATACCCCTCCTTGATTAAATCAGCAGATAGTTTTAAAAAAAAAAAAAGAAGAACCAATATTTTAAAAGCTTAGATGCCCAGATTCATAATTCTATACACTTTCTCCATCCTATTATTTTCTTACTATACATGCAAAAAAAGTTAGCTTTGGTCTTTTCTTGGGAATGAATTCTATATTTCAGCAAACTTAACATACGTAATGAATGGCCAGTGAAGAGCACGTTTCTACTTGCATGCACACTTTCATGTCTACTCTTAAGAGGTCAGGAAAAGCCCTGTGTCACCAGCCCCATGCAGACACACGTGGAAGTAGCACTGGCCAAGGAAGCTAGAGCTCAGACTGGGGGCAGAAATGACTGGAAAGAACAAGTGCATTCCCCTGCTCATGAAAGTTCGGGAGAACCTTAACCCTAAATGCAACCTGAGAAATATTAAATCATAAGTAAAAAAAAAAATTCCTTGGATTATATAATTTTGTTATTTCTGGGTAGAAGAGCTCTTGCTGGCTTTCTCTTCAAGTACTTGTGAAAAATAACACAGGACCCAAAAAAGTGACAACGATTAATGTGGTTCTACTGAGAAGTGGTTCATTTTCATTGCTTGGGCGAAACAATTTAACTTCTGGAAATGGATCAAGCAACTGTTACTAAGTATCTTAAACTCAATAAAAATAATGACTATTAAAAAAACATACTTTATGGCTACAGCTGCTGAGTGGTGGGTGAAAATCCTCTTCTTCCACATACTTCCTCTTAAAGTATGTGATCTTGGATGTTGTTATAGGATTTGAAATTCCCCTGTAATGTGATCCTGTGGTAATAAATCAGATATGACAAATGACATGTGGCTTGCCAGAGGTTCTTTAAACAAAATACTTTTCTTTCCTTTCCTTATAGAGGATAACTTGGCTACGTATTTGCCTGTACATGTGGTGATTAAAAATAAACATTTGTCTTAATAGTTGCTATCATGCGGAATCCTATAACCTAGGTGAGGCAAAGATTTCTAGGCAATCATAGAGGAAAATGACATATTTCAGCATTTACTGAATACTCAGAATCTTAACTCAATGCACAGGCAAACAGCAAAATTCATAAAGGGGAGGAGTGTGATTACTCTGAAATATATTAATACTTATTCAAATTGTTTAATTAAACCCACGGTCACATACCACCACTGTTCAAATGTGTACATCTTAAACTGTAACCACTGATAATCAAACAACTTAAAAATATTGGCTCTAAGTTAGTAAACCAATGGTTGTCTGCACCTTGGAACTATAATATTCCCTCTTTCAAAACATGAAACTTAAATTTTTGACATTTGCAATTAAAATTTTGGGTAACGCAAGTCCTTTTCACTCTCCAAACAGTAACATGTAAACCACGCATAAAAGTAGGGTCTAATTTTTAAAGATCACAGTTATTAATCCTTTTTTTTTTAAACAGACTTGATCGAGCATTTGTTTTGTGTTTTAGTTTCTTTTTGAAAGATAGCTAGTACCACACAAAATCCAAAGGAACTTAGTCTAGAAGAAAGAATCAGGAAGAACATATTTCTATTTTCTCAGCTTTAAAAATTTTTTCCTACCATACCAAAGCCAGTTGTGTGCTTAATAAAAAGAAAAGGCACATACGTAGCTGCTGGCCCAAAGTGCAGATTCCTTTTTGTCTCAAGGGATAAAGATTTCATTTTTGAGCCCACCAGGACTCTGGAAACTCTGAGAGAACCATACAGTTCTACAGGGTAGAAAACCAAAACCCAAACTCAAGAGTTTCAATATCTGGTTTGGGTCTCTTATCAATAAAGACACGAGACTTACGTGCAAGTAGTAGCACAGGTAGATGCAGGGTTGAATGCAATTGAAAAATCACCTCTGGTCCTTTCCCCAGAGCCCTGGACTGGCTTAGGGGAGGGGCACAGGCAGTGTGGGATGTACCCAGAGCATTAGCCCTTTTCTCAGCTCAGAAGGGCACCCCAGACACCGCCTCCCGCCCACCAGCCTGGCCACAGAGGGCAGCGGGCAAGGTCAAGGGCAAAATACCTGTCAGTGGGGGACCAGCTCCCCGGTCTCCCTGCAAAGGAGTCTGTGCAGGGCCTGGGGGGCTCGGGCCTCCATAGCTGTCAGCCTCCCATAGTGTCTGGTACCCGGCAATTTCAGCAGCTCCTTCCGAGACAATGGGCTCGCAGAATCTATTCATGGACAGAACCAGAGTCATCTCTGACAGCCTCAGATCTGAAAAAAGAAAAAAAAAAAAAAAGAAAGGAAAAAAAAAAAAAAGAAAACAGAAAACAGCCCTAATGAAGAGCAAGCCTGGGGATGGCCTTGGCATCTTCATTCCTTTGCTTTGGGAAACTTTTACTCCCCGGCCCTCCCCTTCCACCCTGAAGCGTTTTATTATTTTTCCAAAGGAAACCTCAGCAAACTCTCCTGCTGCTATTAGCTCAGCCTCTGTGTGCAGCAATCTGCATTTCATGGGCGGATCTTTAAAACCCCATTTCTTATTGTTCTCACATTCCCCTCAGCCCTCTTGCAGACAGCTGCTTTGCCTCCTGAACACATTTTCCTCCTGACCTTCCCGCAGAAAATGTACCGCTAAGAAGCCAAAACCCTTGCGCTTCCTTTCTATTAATAAGGCAAAAATCAATTTTCTAGTCAATCCCCTGGGAGTCTCTTTTGATGAAATCCACTAATCAATCAAAAGAAAAGGGCGGGGGAGGCAGAAATCTCCACCGTAATTCCAAGTGATGCTCTGAGGTTCGGGCTGATCCGCTGCCCCTACGCCCTCCTCCTGTCGTTTCCGCAGGCCAGTTCCTCTACAACATTCTGGGGCTCCCTCCACTTTCCTCTCCCAAAGCAAAGCAGACAGAGAGAGAGAGACACTTGGTAGTTGTTTCCACCAGCCCTGATCGGCCTGAACTGGATCTGCCTCCAGTCAAAACACTGCGAGATGAAGACAGAAAATTGGCTCCAGTTTCAAGCCGTGAGTTGCAGTCCCACAGGAGCCAAGCACAACATCAACCGAGCAGGCAGAATATTAAACAGGAGCCAGGGCTCTGGGGCCAGAGGCAGCCAACAACTCTTTACACTGCAAAGCCCAGACACAAGGCAGGAACTTTCCAAGAGGCAACACGTCACTGCCCTTCTCTTCGGTTCACTCCCTTCCCTTGGGCCTGCAGGGAGAGATGCTCTCGGCTGGGTGATGCCCCCCCTCCCAGCCCAAAACTCAGGCATGATGCCCCCCCCCGCCCCCCCCAGCCCAAAACTCAGGCAGTTGGGGCCACTTCCATTGGGGCTCAGTGTCTTTACTTGGTCCAGGGCAGGGCTCAAGGTAGGGTCAAGAGTAGCTTCAAGGGAGAAGAGAGTCTGATGTTAAAGTAAAAGGACTTAGGGGCCATTGGTGACCGCAGCCTCAATGCCTCGTTAACTGCCAATTCCCTCAGGAGACTCAAACCTCCACTATCTCACTTTGCGGTTTAAAGAACTGTCATAAAAGTGATGTCAGGCTTGCTTCCTGAAGATTGATTGTCTTTCACATATACACTAGGGGTCTAGTTCTTGCTTTCTTTTCCAAATTATACAGCTTGTAATGTTTTGGGGGAAAGGGCGAATCTATCATTGTCTTGTGGGAGACTATTATTAACCTACATGCTATCACAAGGGTCTACTTCCAGGTAAAAGGAGGAAGGTCACCAGGGTAAGATGAAATAGCTTCATTACAGTGACAATGTCCTTCTGGCTAACAGAGCAGCTCTTGGCAGCAATGACTCTATCTTTCATCCAGTCTTCTTTCTGAAGTCTCAAATTCTGTCCCAACCCCAATGAATAATGAAGCAAGACCTTATGACAGGCCAGGAAGGTGTCTTGGTCAGTAGGTGGAATTAGGATCCAGCTGATTTGGGCTGCTTAAATCACCTCCCCCTGCTCTAAGATGTTCTCCAAAGAGACATCAGAAGGACTTATTAGAAAATCTTATTACAAGAGAAAAAAAGGAGGTTAAATTAATTTTTCTCTTTGAATCATCAACCAATAAATTTTACCTACATTGCTTTAACAAACTAAGCCATTGTGCCTACCACTCCTCAAATTCCACATCCCAGCAAGGTAAAACATTTCATGATGATTTATTCCCAGGAAGACTCTCATGAAATGGTCCAATTTCCTAACCTGTTCTAAGAGACAATTGTATCAGATATTATTGCCAGGAGCACACGAATTACAGCTTTTTAATACAGTCGGTAGCCTTTTCTTATTGAGAGAAGCAACATTTTCCAGCTAGAAATTTACACTCACTTGTGTGCTGGATTCTGGGAATAAGATCCAAGCCTTTGCCTCTGTAGAATTTTATTACATATAAACAAAAGCAGGTTGACAAACTCGTGTCCCTTAAAAAAGAAAAGCATTTGCAGGCCCCTAGCAGCAATTACCTTTGTTTAATAGGACATTATATGGGCCCTGTGCCGTTTTATGTTAGGCAGAGTTTGTTTACATTTTAATGACTTTTTGGTAGTAGCTTTTTTTGGTTGTTAAGGACTTCAGTGTTTCTATTTGTTAGCATTGTTTCCAGCATATGAAATTCTATCACCATGCATTTGAACTTGAATCGTGGCATAATAGTTCTTATCTTAGCTGTTTCTTTTGTTTACAATATCTAATTTCAGTAAGTTTTTCTTTTTTAAACTGGAAACTGCTACACACAAAATCCTAAACTAGAAAGGCTTGAGTTCTTCAAGTGATTTATGTAAATCTGAATAAAACATGAATGGGTTGGGATTATTTGGGAGTGGGGAGGAGATTTTGCAACTGAGTCTTCCTAGTCTGTTTAGAATTTACACTGGGATGTTAACAAATTAAGAAGGCAAGTTTAATGCTCATGAAAAAATTGGACTGTGCAGTGTTAAGCACCCATGTTTAACATGAATCTTTATTTGTATTATATGTGGAGATCCAAACTGTCATTCTCTGTATGAGCAGATTTACATTATAATTCTGTGACTGAATTCAGAAGTTCAAGTTTACACATTCATGTGCTGTCAATATCAAATATAGACAAAGATATATATTAAGGCAAATTTTGTTTTCTTAACACCAGAGGTGATCGGATTAAAAAAGAGAGTGTGAAAGTGTGTTTTGTCTATGCGTGGGTTTAAAAAATGTAAAAAGCCCTAACCCTTTATCCTTAGGTTCCTGCAAATCTGTTCTGCCGCCCAAGTAGATGTCGTGGAATGACAGCTCGAGCATTCCCAGAAGGCTGAGGGCTAAAATGTCAAGCTTTCCCAGCAACTGTTCACGGTAAAGTTACCAGGCATTTCTATACGATTTGGTTTTTCAAGAGAGAGTTGGGTTTGCTCTTTCCTCAGAGCCATTATGATGCTAATAGGAGTGGCTGGCACACAGAACTATGGATTCAGTGGCACCTTGAATCTAACAGTGGGCTCCTGGCCAGTCTTTACCTACCCCTCTTCCCACCTGTCTTTGGACATTAGAGAACATTTTATTCAGAGCATTATAGCAGTTAGAAGTCTGATTCCAAACCTGGAAGGCAGGGAAGTAAAGCACTGGTATTTCCAACACACCGCTGATGCTGCCAGTCTTAAATGTTCTGCCCAGGTGGCACCAAGCCCCTGACCTCCGCATGGTCCCTAACGTGATCTCAGCAGCTAGTACTCGAGGTGGAGGCGGTGGAAGGGTCTGGAAGGGCGGAACAAAACCCTTCACCCTTTCTAGACAGACAGATGTCGCTTTTCTGCCGGTCCCTGCAGTACACCTGTCTGCCCTGGGAAGTGCGTCTCTCAGCTGCAGCCCCGCGAGGCCAAAGGCTTTAGGCGGGTCCCGGGGCTGGGCCTAAGGAGCGCCCAGGGGTGCCCCAGCCCCGCGGCGGCCCTCTCCAGCCAGGCCCAGGAGGGGGTGGGTCGGAGGTCTGGAGGGCCGAGCCCCTGCAGGCGGCGGCAGCCACCGCGTCCGGGCTGCGCGCAGACACAGCCCCGGGGATCGGGGACCGGTGCCGCCGCCCCTCGGCCCGTCTCCCGGGGGCTGGCCGCTGGCCGCAGGAGAAAGTAAACAACACCCCAAGTGTCCGGGAACAAAGGCAAGTTGTCTCCACGGTGCCGGAGCCGTGTGCCTCTTCTGAAGAATAAGAGCTATTATTACTCGTTTTGTCTTATCCTTTTTTTTTTTTTAAACCAAGTTTCCTTCTAAGGGAAATACACAGCAAAGGTAGGATTCCAAGGCAGTGACTCACGGCGGCGGGCAGGGCTCCGGCGAGGCCGACGGGCCCCGCGCTCCAGCCCGCGGCGATGCCCGCCGGCCCGCCCCCTCCCCCGGCCAGCGCCCCCGCGCGCCCGTGGGACCCCGCGGCGTGGACGCCCGCCCGGCCCCGCGGCCGCAGCCGGGCACTCGGGAAAGTTGCGAGGGCCGGAGAGGCGGGAGGGGAGGAAGGGAGGAGAGAGGCGGAGGCGTGGGCCGGGCGGGCAGCAGCCTCAGCCCGCCGGGGAGGTGAGCTGAGGACAGAGGAGCCGCCGCCGCCCGCAGCGCGGCTCGGCTGCCGGGGAGGAGGGTGCGGGGGCGGAGGTGGCGGGGGACAGAAGGTGTCAGCTCCCGCGTCTATTCCTTTTTCTTACAAACGCGCGCTCCTGACATCCACGGTCTCTCCCTCCCCACCTGCCCAGCGCCGCGGCGTCCAGACCTGGGGGCACCCCTTCTGCTCACCCCCGTCCCCTACGGTGAGGGACTGAGCGGTCACCGAGGACCCCGAGGTCTCGCCCGAGCTGCGGTCCCCGCCCGCCCCTGGAGTCGGCTCGGCGCGCGCGGGTGGCGGCCCGAGCAGCCCCAGGGGAGGCGGCGGTTCCCGCCCCGGAGCGGGCGCCGCGGCGCGCCAGCCCCTGGAAAAGCCCGCGTCGCCTCCGTGTCCAGCTGTGCCCTGGCCCGCACGCCGCGCCCGCCCCGCTCCGGCCGCTGCGAGTCCACTCGGGGACCCCGGCGCTGCCCTCGCGCGGGGAGGCCGCGCGCGCAGGAGCCGGGGGCCTTGCCCTCCTCCCGCCCTGGCCCTGGTCCCCGCGGCCCGCGCGCACCGGCTCTTACCGCGGGGTCAGCGGGGCGGCGGCGGCCGCAGCGCCGGAGCTGCCGCTGGTCCGCCCGGGCTCAGCGCCAGCCCGGCCGCCGGTGCACACTCGCGCCGGTCCCGCCCCGGCGGCCCGGTCGGCGGTGGCCGCTGGAGCGCGGCGGGCGAGGGTCCCGGCAGGTCCCGCCGCTGCGACTGGGGCGCTGCGCCGCCGTCGCCGCAGACGGTTATGGTAATGAGCGGCTCTGTCTAGCGAGGAGCGTGTGAAACCCGTCAATCCTGTTTGCCATTTCCCCGTGGATTTCCGAGGAGAGGTTCTGCAGGATGCCCCCAGGGTGAGAGAGGGAACATGACAAGCGCGCCCGCTCTCCCGCCCTCCCTCTCCTCCCGCCGCCGCCGCTCCTCCGGCTGCACACGGGGCGCCTTCCCGCACCCCCACCCCAGCCCGCCCCCTGCCTCCTTCCCTCCTTCCCGCCCGCCCTCCTCCCTCGCCTCCCCTCCCCTCCCGGTGCCCGGGGACACGCGGGCCCAGCTCCAGCCCGCAGCCCAGACCCCACGCGCTCTGCGGCTCCCGCCCTAGCCCTGGGGGCTCGGCTCCAGCCGAATAATGTATTCGCTCTGCAACCTTCTGGGATGTCTCGTCTTTTTTTATTTGGTTTAGTTTTGTTGTTGTTGTGTGTGCGTGTGATTAAAAAAAAAAAAAATCTGTGCCTTTCCCACCCTTTGCAAAAGACTTTCTTTTCCTTTGCCACAGCAAACGGAGATGAGAAACAGATGTCTTTGCAGGACCAAGCAGTTACTCTCCCCTCGCCGCCCGCCCCCGCCGGCTCCCCTCCTGAGCTGCATATGTAAGAAAAAGCAACCTTGGTCCTGCTGCAACTTGAATTGGCAACCCTTCCTCTGGGTGGGGATCCTCCAGAGAAAACCTCCAGGAAATAAAAAGTAATAAAGGAGGTTGTCTTTGCTCAAGAGAATGTAATCTGAGCCCCAGAATCAGAGTATTTTGCAAATAGTAATTTTCCCCTGCATTGGGCTCAATTGGAGTTTGTTTTTTAAAACATTAATTCATAACTTCTGTCTAGGGACCGCTCCGTAGCGGAGATGGGTCATTTCAGGTGCAGTGAAGGCAGAGGCTTGGAATAGACCTAATAAAACCGGGAGAAGGCACCTGCACGAAAGTGTCACAAAGACTATAATGTTTGTTTACTGCTACTACGCCAGATGCGCTAAATATAACACTTCTTTAAAACAGTGATCCTCCGACTGTGAAAAACCAAACCTCTGGCTGCCTGGCTCCCTAGGAATCCAGGACCTGCACAGACTGAAAATCAGGGAGGGAAGGAACAAGATCAAGGATGAGGATTAGCATCTGCAAATTGAACTCTATCTAATTTGCATGTTTATTTCTTAGAATTGTAATTAAATTTGTGTAATAAATGTTTTCCATTTCATTTGTACACTTAAAATCTGGGTGACTGACATGCAGTTAAGTGAATTTCCTTTTTTTTTTTTTTAAAGCAAATGCAGTTTATTCAATAAAGCAGCAAACAAATATTAAACATAATTAGAACTAATCTGTTCCGAAGGTGTTTTTGTTGAACTTTGTACATTAAAGACTCTCAGAGGTTTTGAGGGTATTAGGAAGCTGAGAGACGGCAATTATGCTGAAAACAGACGAACCCAACAGCCTACCAGGAGCTTTATTCCATTTTTTCCAAAAGACATTCCAGGGTTGCATGCCTAAAATTGGGAATTGGGCATCCATCTTGGCTGTATTCTGAACCATATTAAATTGCATTGGCTCATGCTCCATGTAGGTCATTATGATGACAATTTAAGAATTGTAAAGATGCCATTTTGTATAATCAATGGGAGTTGCATGCGTCCAGATTAAGGGTAGAATATAATTTTCATTTGAGTGGGGGAGCAGAGTAAGGACAGGCAAAGGGCATTTAAAGCAGTTAAACTACTTAAAAATCTAAATCAGTATCTAAAACTGGTTATTGTCTAAGTCAAATAAAGAACTAAATGTGAGGGCTTGGAGGCATGGCTTATTATGGTTTTTATCTCCCTATATTAAAGTTTTATAGCATTTAAAGGACTATGGGGAAATCCCCACATACACTTGGCTGTGTCAAAATGCATAAAACCAAAAGGAGCAAATTAAGCATAAAATTGAGAAATAACATGAGACTAAGTATCAGCATGGGTGCATTGGCATCTTTGGAGCTTTGGCTCTGACAAATGAGCCTTCTGGGAAATTGGCATTGCCCTTGGGTGGAGAAGACTCTTGGCTTTAATGTTACAACAAAATGACATCACAACACGAATCTCAAATCATTGTACCTCACAGCACACTTGCAGTTCTGAGTGTAACCTCAACCCTGTCCTGTTCGGATCCATTAGGTTAGCATATTTTACTGACAGCTTTCCCTGCCCTACTTTTAATCCCAAGCTTAATGTTTTCTGAGATTCAGTGCCCAACTGTTGACAACGTGAACCTGTGTCTACAAGTAGAAAAGGCAGTCAAAGGTCTATGGAATGAGAAATATCATTTAAAAATTTAAAGGAAGGGGTGGCTATGGCATGAGAAAAGAACTGACTATAAATCAACAATGAAATATTTGAAATAAGTGAATGTTATTTATAATGAGGTACAATATTCAACTGAGAGCAATGATGTCATCGTTTTGGGGGGTGTGTGTGTGTGTGTGTATGAGAGACAGAGAGAGAGAAGTTCCAAGATAGAAGTTTGGTTGTAAAACTTAAAATACTTTGAGCTGCAAATTTACTGAAGGCAGAGATTGTTTTTCTTCAGTTAACAAAGAGAGTGCCAGACTTAAAACTGCTGAAACCCATTTCACGAAACCTTTTTCTCATTAGATAGGGAGATTTCACAAGTAAAATTTGACTTCTTCAGATTGCTGTGGACACCATGCCCATGTGGATTAATAAAAAGTCTGAATTACTGGCTTTTTGAAAAAAAAATGCAAGCTTTTTATAGCAAAAGAAGGCATCGACACTCAGTCTCCCCAGTTCCTCTTCTCCTGATCTCAAACCTTTCTTTATTAGACTTTCTTATTCCATTACTCCATTGAAACCCCATTCCAGCCCATGTCACCAGTGACTTCCACATTGCTAAATCCAAAGGTCGATTGACCCAGTTGCTCCCTCCCTCCTCCTTCACACACCTTGTATCCTGGCTTCCAGGACAACAAGCCCACCTGGTTTGCCTCCTACCTCTCTGGTTGTTCCTTCCCAGTCTCCTTTGCTGGTTCTTCCTCTAGGACCTCTGAATGTTGGAATGCCTCAAGCTCAGTGCTTGGACCTTGTCTCTTCTCTACAGCCACTCCCCTGTGGACCTTAGCCAGTCTCTTGGCTTCAAATCCTGTCTACATCCTGATGGCTCCCAAATTTATATCTGCAGCCCAGACTCTCTCTCCTGACTCCAGACTCTGTGTATATGTCTAATAGGTATCACAAGATACCTGTTACAGATCCAAAACTCAACACCCGATCGTCTCTGCTTTCCCAACCAAGGCCACCCTTCATTGTCTGCATTAATAAACCAAACTATTTTTCTTGTTTCTCTGGCAAAAAAAACTTTTGAGTCATCCTGAGTCTTTTTTTCCCTTCATACTTTACATCTTAAACATCGGAAATTCCTTGAGACTTTACCTTTAAAATTGTTCTAGAATCTGATCACTTCATCTCTACTACCAGTACCCTGGTACAGCCATCATCATCCTCTCTCATCTGGGATGTTGCAATAGCCTTTTGACTGGTCTTCCTGCTTCAGTCTTTGGCCCTTTGTACAGCTCAGTGTCAGCTCAAGGGCAAATGTTGTCAATTTTTACTAAGACTCTCTGTAAGGCCCCCACCCCCTTTCACTCAAAGAAAAAGCCACATTCTTGCAATTGTCTGCAAAGACCTGAAGCCTGAGGGTTTTTTTTTCTTCATCTGACCTCATTCTGCCTCTAAACACTACTCCAGCCACTCTGGCCTCTTTTCTGTTTCTCCACTATATAAGGCCTTACTCACCTCAGGACATTTGTATGGGCTCTTCCCTCTTTTTGTTATGCTCTTTTCCCAGAGAGCTGCACAGGTGAATGTTCACCTCTTCCACATCTTTGCTCAAGTATCCCATTCTTAAGGAGCCCTGGCCAGTCTGCTTAAAATTCCAACATTTTGCCTTGATATCCTGCTTTATTTCTGTCTAGAGGATTGATTGTCTCCTAACAGCCTTTAGTTTATATGTATATTGTATTTATCACTTCTCTTCTCCTGCTAGAAAGTAAGGTTTATGAGGGCAGGGATTTTCGTCTTTTTTGTATACCCCTGTATCTTTAGCATCTAGCACAGTACAAGTGCCTGGCATACTGAAGACACTTAATAAATAAATGTGTGATGATTGAATGAGCAATTGATCAATAGTTAGTTTTATGTATATACAAACCTAAACAAGGCTAAAATTGTGGTACTCTAGTCTAGTGTATGTAGAATGGTGAAATAGGCAGTTAGTTTTATTGCCTCATTTTCTTCTTCTAGTATTCTCTGGCCCAGTGCTCTCATCTGCCCTGCAGTATTGCAGGACCTGAAGACATCCCCAAGATTCCTGGCACCCAACTGTTCCATGTTGCCCTGCCTGCCTGAGAGTCTCCAGGACACGATTTTAACCAAGTGCACGCTGGTGCTCTGGATTAGCCTTCCTTGCCCCCAATATAGATTTCCATCATTGCCAAGATGCTTGCCCTAAGCTACAAACTTAACACAAAATTACAACGTGTGAAAAGCTGCTCCCCAGGAGCCTATAATGGCATTTCATGGCAAAGCCATCCTTTCAGAAGCCAGGAACTCCTCCACTTTCTTTCTTATCCTCCCTTCCAAACTTGCTCAGAAACACTTCAATAATTATGTGCATTTTATATGCAGGAATTGAGCTAGGCACTGCAGGTGAAGTAGAGATGAATAAGACACTGTTCCTAGACTTATGGAGTTGTCAATATAGTGAGTATCGTAAGACGAGCAGAGGAATAATGGTACTACTTAGTAAGTCATGGCGTGGCGGATGCCATGGGAGTTCAATGGTGGGACGATCACATCCAGCTGGGGGGAGCCAGAAACACTTATTTGAGAAAGCGAAACCTGAAGTTGACCTTGAAGACAGGTAGTGCTCAATGGGTGGAAATGGAGAATGTGTGAAAAGCATTTCAAGTGAAGGAAACAGTTTGAGGAAAGACAGGTAGGTTGGAAAGCAAAGGGTATCTTTAGAGAAGAGTGAGTGTTCTGGTCTTACTAAAGTGTATGCGAAGGTAGAAGGTAGATGAAGCCATATCATAATATACACTGAAAACCAAGATGAGTTTGATTTTAATTTAGTAAGCAATAGGGAGCATTACACATTTTTGATCTGGAGAATGATCTGATCAAAGCCGAGCTCTAGGAAGAGTAATGTGCAGTGGAGACCTGTGTTGGGAACATTATGTAGGTAGGACACTCTTTTGGCAGTCTGGTGAGGAGTCATTAGTCTTCACTAGGTCTTCATTAGAGAAGTGGATTCTGAATGGGGAGACAAGTGTGAGGTGTCACAAAGTTGGAATCTTTAGGATAGAGTCACTGATTGTAAGGGAGGGAAAACTGAAGAATGCCCTGAGGTTACCTCTTGAGTTACCATGTGGCTAAGTAAACCCAAAACAAATGGGAATATTACCTTTTTTGTTTGTTTATCCTTTTCTTCTTCCAAGGAGAGTTTTCTCCCTATATACTGTTCCTGCCTTTGGCAGTAAGGGCCTAGACAGTTTTTTCTTGACCAAAAACCCTAAACACATAGGTCCACACTGGGCCAGAGCACTAATTCAGAAGTAGGTTTGAAGGGAATGTGTTGTGTTGGCTCTGAGCATGAGATAGGTGTTCATGGAACAGACGGATGGAGATGTCCAGTTGTCACCTGAATATTCTCGTCTAGCCGAGGATAGAGTATGAGAGCAAATTATAACAATGTATGATTATTTCAATAAACATCAAGCTTGAAGTCTTAAGATTTAATGAAATTATTGAAGACGTTTCAAAGAATTAAAGAGTGAGGGCTGAGGTCATCATCCTGAAGAATCTGATAAATGCATTTGTTCAGAAATGAAAATAACATTTTGGGCTTCGTTTGTGACCTCTTTCAGGGATATCTGTATTTAATGGTGTACAAAGAGCCTTTTGGCTTAAACGTAAAGGAAGACATTGGGGATGGGGTGGTGGAGTTTGGGTAGTGGGCATTCTCTTCTAACGGTCCTGCTATCACAACACGGAAGTAGCTATATGCTGAGCTTCCTCATGAGGCTGACTTTTACTTATTTATTGTCACAGGTGGAAAGTGATTTACTGTTTTATGAGATAATCCTGAAATAATCCCTGAAAAGATGTAAACCATTGATAATGAGCTTGGAGTGGTATCTCTCAGGGATATTTGTATTTTAATAGAAGTGTCATAATGCTACAAAAACTTTAATGAAAGCAATAATTAATGACATGATTTCAGGTGTAGCACAAGCTGGTGTTATTTCCGAATGGAAATCACATAACA